CGAAAAAATTTAAATATACAACCTTTCAAAATGCTATAGATCTTGTTGGATCGGTGAACGTTGAATGAAATTGAATAGTTTGGGAAAAAAATTCAATCCAAAAAACCAAAAAAATAAAAAAAACTTCAAATTTTGAATTTGTTTTCTCACTCCAAATGAATAAAATGGTTTTTGGGGGGTTGGAATGCCCCGAAAATCCCTCAGGAAAAGGAAAAATTATGTTACTATCCTCGACAGAGGGCAATTTTAAGCCCTCGTGCCAAAGGCCACGAGGTGCCGTCTAGGTGGGCCCTCAAGTACCTAGGCACCATGCTTAGGGGGGTTTAGTGCCGTAAGGTTGCTTAGCTTCCTAGGCAGCCAAGCTACCGCCTTTTCAAATACCGTAACAACTTTCTCTCTCTCCAACAATAGGGAAAGATACTGCATAAATGAAGCTCTCTCTTAGATTTGAACCACCATGTTACATGAAATGCGTACCATGATAGTGGTTGGACAGACCTTGAACTATGTCCATTGTTGACAAGCCTCCCACATACTGTACATTACCCTTCAAATAGCTGTGATTTTCTAGAAGGCTTCCACATTAATGGCCTTGCACTCATTCCTGGTTTTCACCAGTGCCCTAGAGAATGTCAATTCTCATAGGACGCGGCCTCTACTTTCATACCCATATAGATGAATCCGTGGAGGATGCCCTGAAAAGCGTCACTGTAGCCTAGGATTTACATTATCTAGGCAAATGGACATATTAAGAGCATAACTCAGCATTTTTATTCATTGCAGTAAACTGTACCACATAGCCTGTGATTGGGCAAAAATTCACAAATTTATTGTAATGATATCGTGGTAGATACATACATCAGACATCATATAAGTGACTTGTTTTTCCCTTTTAACCAATGACTTGGGATTTCCTTGTCCTTACACTCCTTTCACTTTGTGGCATAAATCTCAAGTGGGTTTTAATCCCATCCCTCTAGCTGTCATGTACTACATAGCCCGTGATTGGGCAAGAATGCACAAAAATTCATTGTAAATGATATCATGGTAGATACATACATCAAATATCACATAAGTGACTTGTTTTTCCCGTTGAACCTATGACTTGGGATTTCCTTGTCCTTAGGTGGGGTTCTTGTCACTTTGTGGCATAAGTCTCAAGTGGGCTTTAATCCCATCCTTCTAGCTGTCTTCCAGACATGGTACCTCGCAAAGCGTTTTGTTAATAGATCCACCGTATTAAGGCTGGCTCGGATGTGAAATACTGATAGCAGTCCATCTTCAAGCAATAGTCTCAATTGCTTGTGCCCCAATTGAAGATGTCTCAATTTTCCAAAATAAATCCCACACTTTGCTCGGTGTGTTGTGGCTTCCCATTTAATGTATTGAGACTATAGGCACGGGCCCTTGAACAAGTGGTACTTCATGCACTAATTTGTTTGCCACTGAGCTTCTTTACTAGAGGCTTACGAGGCAATTAACTCTGATTCCATCTTGGAAGTTGGATCAAAGGATGCAGGTTTGCTTCTTGAAACCCCAAGAAATAGCACTCTCACCATAAGTAAAGATCCATCTACTGGTAGACATCAATTTATCATAATCTGTAATCCTGTTTGTATTATTGCATACTTCCAATACCGTGGGCTTGCCAATGTAATGTAGGCCATAGTGTATGAGTCATTTGAGATACCTCGAGACCCTATTGACTGCATTCCAATGCTTTTATTCTGGTTGTTGGTGTATCTACTAAGCTTACTCATAACAGAGGCAATATTTGGTCTAGTACATGACATTACATATGATATACATTCTCGCTTCACAGTTTTTCTGAGTTTAATATGAGCATCATAAGGGGTCAAAATTGGCTTACATTCAAAATGATCAAATCTTTTGAGCACTGTCTTTATATAGTGGCTTTGAATCAGAACATGTCCAGTCTATTTCCTCACTATCTTGTTTCCCAGCCCCATGTTTTTTATATTAAATACATAAGAATAATTTCTGTGTCCTCAATGCGTGCAGTACTACTGCCTGGTATGAGCCTATTGAACAATCCTATAAAAATTCAAAGAAAGATGAAAGAAAAGAACGCATAAAAGAAAAAAGCATAGTAAGAAGCTCAGAACAACACCCAAAATTGAAATTTATTCTTACTTAGTAATATAGATTTAGAGAGAGAGAGAGAGAGAGAGAGAGAGAGAGAGAGAGAGAGAGAGAGAGAGAGAGAGAGAGAGA